GCTCACCAGTACAGTATCTCATAAAATTCTGGAAGAAAGGCACAGGGTTTCTTTTCCCTGCCCAGAGAAATGTTTAAAGTTTTGGCTTTTGCTTTGTTATGGTTCAGAAAGCTAACAAAACCTACCCAAATAAAAATAAAAAAATCTCCGAGACAAATGGATGGGGAAAGGCAAAGCTGTATGGCATGGTAATGGGGTCTGACTCAGAGAAGTATGAGACAGAGGTAGGTGAGCATGCGCCTGCATCCCCGAGTAGCAGTCAGTGCAGCAGCAGCACCTTACAGCTACATACGAGAGGGGGAGGGGGCTTGCAATTCAGACAGGGATCCAGGAGAATAAGAGAACAGTCACTGCCATTGTCTGTCTGGGAGGTTAACTACAGGACAGCAGGGGATGGAAGGAGATCAGGGGGAGAGATAAAGAGTGTACCAAAATATAGGGTTTTATGATGTTTAGGGCTTGCAGGCAACTATAATTACGACGAAGAATAAGTTCTTAGGACAAGTAGCAAGCAGAGGTGAATTTAAAGTTGATCTCCATCATTTTTTCTGCAGTGGTAGTGTGCTGTGTATTTTTGGTACTTAAAAGAAAAAGAAAACTTTTTTTTTTTATTAAGGTGAGTCAGGAAAGATCAGTGTCTAGCTCAGGATCTTTTGGGACTCGTGGCCTCATGTGCAAGTTAGGGGCCTTGTCACAGAAGGACAAGCAGAATTTGGCCTTAGATGTTCCACTGCAAAAACAAGCTCTTAGGGCATAAAGTGACACGTTTCCAGATGCACACTCCAGTCAGACCTACAGAAAGCTACTGCTTGGCTCTGTCTCCTTTTATGTTGACTTGAGAAGTCAATAAAAAGTTACACAGGGACTTTTGTTACAGGAAACCCACCAAACTAGGCTAATGGAAAAAATGCTAGGTGAACAGAAAGCAGTGTTGCTCATAGATTTTTATGGATGCTTTTCTAATCTAAGGCTCTGAGTGGTAGGAGACTTGCTGACACTGGAGGAAAAAAAGAGCATGTCTTGACTGCATCAACCTGGGCCCATGTCTTGGTAACCCAGTAATAGTGCCATCAGTCATATATTTTCAGCAGTCTTCATCTTTCATCTTGTTAGCCTTTGTAAAGCCATATTTGATATTAGATTAGGGAAGAAAAATCCAGATATTTTTATCTGAGTTGGGAGGCACCTAGCACACTTTTGGGGCCCTGTAATACACAACCAGTAATCATGATGCTGACCCCATTTTAACAACCCTTGCAGCAACAGGCCACTTTGGCAGGTTAGGCTGCTATACCTTGTAGTTGTGTGACAGGGTTGATTGTGTGGTTTAGGAATGGGCTAGACAAGGATTTGTATAGGATGAGTTGGCTAGGGATGACCTCAGACTGTGGGTTGGACCAGTTGACCTCCAGGGGTCCCTTCCAGCCCCACTTTTCTATCTATGTTACAGAGTTCTGGCATCAATTAGCAAAAATGTTTGTGCATGTGTTGGACTGGGAGGTGTTTGCAAAGGGGTCAGACATGGTAAATCAGGGAACAAACTGGGGAAGTGACCAAAATTGCTAGGTTAAGATTTTCCAGTAGCTCCCTGGGTATGAAAAGGAGGCTTCTGGGTGGCTTCTGCCTTAGTTGTGGTTAATCCAACTGGCTTCAAGGGCTTGCTCACCCAACACCTGCAGAATGCTAACAGCAAGTCAGGTGTGAAGGTTCAAAAAGTCAAGCCAGAAAGAAAAGAAAATGAAATAGAAATGGGACACACAATTTTTAGTTTCAAATCACAGGACTCCTGCTCTTTCCCCTATCCCCCTTTTTGAAACTTGGACTGTTTCAAAGCTGCTTGCGTGCTCATGTCTTAAGCTGAATAGCTAGTGCTACCAAAAGAGATTCCCTCATTTAGAATAGAGCGGAGGAAGAAAAGGTCACTGTTGAGAGCAGCAAGGATAGTTCTGTTGAACCGTCATTAAATTTAAGCAGTGAATGGAAACTGCATGTGACCTCTAGGACTGGATGCTTATCTTAAACTAGCCCCTTTTTTTTCTTCCTGAGCTCCTCATGTCCATCAGATAGACCACCCAAATGACACACACGTATGTTAGAGTAACTAATTATTTGTTAATTCAATTTAAATTCATTTAAATTAATCACTGGGATTAGTAATTTATTAACCAGGGAAGAAATGTGACACGGTGGAGAAATTGTTACTGATACATCAAAGGAATGGTAAAGAAACTAACTATGGAGATTTAATATGCTTGCAGTCGCAGTTGAAGGCAAATGCGTGAAAACGTTTCGGATACACAGAACCTGGTGTTTTCTGTGGCATGAGAAAAAAATCCAGATTAACAAATGTGCAGCACTTTAATGTTGGATTGACCATCATTGGAACTGTTCACAAGTAGCGTGGACAATCTAAATTGTACTTCATTTTCTAAGTATGGTATAGCCAGTAGGATAATTTAGAAAACACATCACCAGAACGTGGGCTGAAGAAGGGAAGGACGGGAGCATCTTTGGAAGGTTAAAGTGGGAGTTGTCGAGTGAATCCTAGTCCTATATTTCCAGACAAACAGAAAAAAGTGAGGTGTAGTACACATCTGTCACATCCTATATATAAACCAGTTTCAAGAATATTTACCTGAACGGATATTTACAACTTTTTTTTTTTGTAAAATATTCTTATAAAAGTAATATTTGCTTGATCTATGGCACAATGAATTTCTCTACAGGGAGACTTTCCATAGGCATAATCAAATATTCAAGAAATCATAAAAGGTAACACTAGAGCAGTGGTTGGCCTAACAAAACATTTTCAGGATGACTGTGATATATGAGTACAGCTTTGTTTTAGAAAGGAGTTGTGCATATTTAAAAGTACTTACAAAGTTGATCTCCTCCTTTCCTAGACCTGTGTATGTTTCCACACCAGATGAGTAGCGAACCATGAAAAACATGCATTTCTAAATGAAGACTATGCCAATTTGTATGCGTTTGTGTTCTATTGGTGGGATAGTCTCTTCTAACCCCTATGGCTCATAAGAGAAAAAATATCGGTTTCTGCCTATCAGTGGTAGAAAGGGCAATTTAAAGGAGCTCATGTTTAATGAATTCATAGGATTCATTTCCTCTTCTTCGTCTGCCTGAACAGGTTTTAAATTATTTTTTACAGAACTGAGATGGTTCACATTACTTGATTCTACAGCCATCCTAAAATGCAACTCTTTTGGTAAAAGGTAAACATTTAAAGCAAAGGTTACTGGAGTTAGTCTGCAGTCTTTTGATTTAAAATCCTTTCATGTGCATTGTGAAGAGGGTGACTCTTAAGCATCTGTGTTTAAAAAAACCTCCAAAACAACGGTTACTGCACCTTTTAAGTACCACCGTATATATTTAGCAATTGCTTTCGTATAAACTCTGGGCAACAAAGGTCATTTTAGAGAATAGTTTTCTCCACGTCATTCAAAAGGCCAAGTGCTGTGATGCAACAGATGCCTATCTTAGAAGAGGGAGTTTGCACCAACATCAAATTTACCTTTTCAAAGCAGTGTGTGGGGTATAGCCGCTCATCTTCTGCTATTTATAAAGTATTTGTACGGCTTGAATAATTTTGAAAATGTCCCTATAGCTGCTGTTATCCCGATTATTTCCTGGTGATGAAAAGTAAAAGCTACGAAAAGGAACTGGTGAGTTTTTCTTTTATATCTCTCTAAATGTGCAAATGAATGTACATTTTTATGGGAAATCAACTTAAATTTCTCAATGCCAGCTGTTGCATTCTGGGGTAATTTAATTGGTTTTACATGAATCTCTTTGCTTGTTTATAGTCAATCACCATTTAGTTACAAGAGTGCTATAAATGGAAAGAAAAAGCAAAAGAAAAAAATCTCTTTCTGAGAATCTTTGTTGAGAGACATGTAAATTAAGGATTAGATTATAAAGGGTGAAAGCTTTCTATTACCAAAGTACTGCTGAAAGTCTTGCATTTGGAGATGTAGCCATTGTTTTATGAAGAACCAAGTGACTTCAATGCTAGTCAATTTTTAATGAGGGAAATGAGCAACTTCTAGAACAACCTCTCATGGGAGCACCCATGGCTACTTTCCTACTTGCTGGAATGCATGTGTTCTTGCCCACAATGACGGATCTGACTTCTGTCACTTGGTGCCTAAGGTAGAGTGCTCTGCTTCTTGATAATGTAGAAAATTCAACCAATCGGACTCATTCATGTTTTCTAGCTTTAAAATCAACCCTACCACCTCTTTTTTTTTCAGCAACAAGTTACCCAAATACAATTAGGTGATATTCTTTCTAGCTACCAGAAGAGGTGGGACTTTACCACATTGCTTTTGGTAGTGCCAAGAGCAAAGGAGAGGGAAGAAAAAGAGCTGAGAGTAGCTATTCCTACCATTTTTGGTTTTAAAAACACCTCAAAGTATTCCTTAAAATCCATCCTGCAAAGAAAACGTATCAGTTTTCATTCAATCTCTCCCTAAATTTCTGCATTTTGAAAAATGCTTTTTGTGATGTTAATTTGTCCCTCATCACTCACAGATGAGTATCAACTGCAGTTTTGCCTCTGGTTTTTCCACTCTACATTAAAGGTGGTGTAGTTAGGTGGTTAAATAACCAGAGGTACAGGAGGTTTGGTGTGTAGACTGAACGAAAATTGAGACTTGAACATAAGACTTGTCATTACTGAAACTCAGAAGCTGTTTTGTTCTACAGAACTGCCAAGTTACATGGTTCATATAAGACCTCGGTGGAGAAATTATTCCTTTTCCCAGACTATGTCCTTTTCATAACCATAAATCATACTTCCAAACAAAAAATTCCCAACAAAACCCACTTCCTATTAGCAGAGCATACCTTATACTAGAGAACTTGCAAGTAGACCAGTGTTGCACCATGAAGCTTATACAGGTTTTTTTCCAGTGTAAAAATATACAATGCGACTGCTTGTTTGCTGCAGTGTAAAGGTCCAATCAGGATTTGTCTGCTGTTGGCTCTACTTTTTTGCCCTTTCATACTTCTCCAACCCAGACCACTGTGTTACCTCTCCTGATACCTGAAATCTCACAGCGTAATGTGTTTTGTCTCCCATTAATAACAAACAGTGAATCTTTAGCTGGTGTAATAAGGTACTGTCCAAATAATCCACTGTCTTTCATAATTCTGTTGTGGCTGCTCCATGGCCAGTCTTTGGATATGATAGGGTCCTTTAAATTCTTCAGGACATTCATTTTCCCTGTTGACAGCTCTACAAAAAGCACATCTGTTTGCAAATGTGAAGTAGCATATATATAGTACTGGTTGCCTTCAGTGAAAGAGGGTTGAAATGTCAGATCAGATATATGCACATTTGTTTGTAAGTCATAAATCAACTTGATTTCCCCTTGGATGGTTATTGCCTGGACCTTGATCCTGCCACTGTCTTCATCCGCACTGACCAAAAAGCATCCGTCAGGTGAAATATAGGGTGTGCCCGATACGTCACCGTTGGGGCCGATCACAGAATCTGTAACACTGTCAATAATAAGCTGGGGAAATGCAGTTACCGACGTATTCTTTTTACACTGGACAAAGAAGTAGCCACCCAAGTGTGTATAGGCCATGGTCTGTGGGATGCAGCTATAGTTTTTGAAGCTGATAGTCTTGATGTGGGTCACAGTTTCCAGGTCAATTTTTTGAACTGCAGATTTCGATTTGTTAAAGATGAAACCAAACCTGAAACAGAAAACATGACACTGAAGTCATCTCTGGAGACTCGGTGACATGCTTGAGAGAACTCATAAATCAGCAGAACTGGAAGACTCTATGCTATTGCCTTGTGGGTAATGTACCCTCTTTCCTACATGAAGCCTCTGTCATTCTCATTCTTCTAAAATGTGCTAAAAAAACAATGTTTTTGGTTTACTATGGAATTACAAATTAGGGACCTGAATGCTGCAAGCGGGATTCCTTGCTCACGTGAGTTGTCCTATCAACATTAGTAGTCTGCTTTTACTGGGAAGGCCTACTTTCACACGGAAACAGTATGCAGGAGGATGTTCCACTTGATGGATAACTGCTTCAGTTGCAAATTGTTCTGGATCTGTATGACCAACATGGATTTTAGTTGTTCTGTGGCTTGATATGGCACCTTGTTTAAATACAGCATATTTGGGGCCTAATCCTTAACAGGGGAAAAGGTACAAAGGTAGTCTGAAATCTGCTCAGTGCCCTAAATTCCAGGTCTGCTGGTCCCATTCCCCTACCCTATATTAGACCAGACTGAGGGCAGTTCTAATTGACTTACTGCTAATGGCTCCAGGGGTCATTATAGGAGGCAGGGATGTTAGGGTGCAGATCACCCTCTACCTAACAGTTCTCTCAGATGATCCCCCTTAGAGAGGCACCAGTGCAATGGAAAATAGGGGTCTCTGTTTTCAGCCTCAAGAGAGACTAGAAAATAAAATGAACCCAGATAAAATGTTCTATAAAAGGTACATGCTACAGTGCATCTGACCTTTGTTGAACAGAGGAAAAGGTCAAGAATAGCCAAGCAATGTTTCTATTTAATTTGAAAGGAGGACCATAGAAATAGCACATTCGATGTTCCCTCCAAATCACAGGTCACTGATATTCACTTATGAGACTGAAAATTAATTTTACATTGAGTGGCTGCTCATCCATTCAGTGGAGAGAGAAGGAAATTAATGGAATATTTTGGTTTGCAGCTCTTCTCGGAAAGATATAAAATCACTTTATGAAATGTTGCAGAAGACTTGTGTGCACACAGTTAAAATATATATTTTTCCTAAAACAGTGCGTTTAATTCCTAATTCTTAATCAGAGCAGCAGCGAAGACATCCAGCAGTGATTTCACTCCTGACGAATAAGCCACTGTTTTGTAGGATCCCGTGAAAATCACTGGGTTCAGCCTTTCATTTCCCCATTATGCTCACATCCTTTAGAAGATTCACTTAACATATCTGCAGTGGAGATTCATAGGGTGCTATGTATGAAGGAAATTGAAGATGACACCTGGATTTCTCCTGGATGAGTGCACATGGAAAATTGTTGGTTTTGTTTTATTTTTTTTAAAGACCTTCTTATGTAGCATTTGTTTCCAGACTTCCTTAATAGTTGGCCAAATGCCTAAACAAGTGAAAAATAAACTAGGCTCTTATCATAAACTCTAATTTGAAAAAGTGGGTCAGAATGTGCATTATGTGCACACAGCTGTTGCTGAGATGCTGTGCCTGTACTCTGACATCTCAATAAAAAATCTCACTTTTAGTGTGTTTTTAATGGACAACAACCTAACCAGTCTACTAATAAAATGGGTGGATTCCTAGATTTTTAGGTAGTTGAGATAGGTAGTTGAAATATATAGACAGAAACATGCAAAAGTATTTTGGCACTCGTGGGAGACAAAATCCAATGTAAGCAACTCTGCAGTGTCATGTGTCCATGGCGGGAAGGTGGAGTTCTGGAAATGTGCCTATGGAAATTTGCCACAAGTAAATTAAATAGAAAAATAGTAAGAACATTCTGTATTTTGCACAGGAAAAACACTCTAAGCTGTCTCTTCGGATATAGTCAAGTGCTGCTCTTTGAGGAGGAGGAGGAGGGCAGGAAGAGCCTCTAAGTAGTAGGCTGTTATATGACAGTTTGGTGACACTTCCACAACTCTTTTTAAGTGAAGTCAGCCATGGCTGCTGTGCTGTGTTTTGAACCCAGTGCTGTTCGTATGTGGTCTGTATGCTTTAAGCATGTCTCATGGACTGGACCTCTCAGAGGACTTGGGTAGCGAGCTCAGCCAAGAGGGCTGGCATCTCAAGCATGTACAACAACAGAGCGGTAGGAGGCTACGTTAGTTTTCTAGCAAAGTCTTAGGTGCCTGCAACTTCTCGGGCACTTGGGCGGTTAGGTGGGGAATTTGCAGATTGTACTCTTCATCATTACTCTGGACAGTTATGATGCGGGGCATGCAAATAGCTATTTGAGATGCAGGTGGCCAGTTTTACATTTGACAGCTATCTGTTATGCCTTAACCACTCTTGGCAGTGAATCTTAACTGACAGTTAGGTGGCACTGAAGCACTTGAACCAGATCACAAAAAAATCAGTGGGCGCGTCTGTGTGCCCCCCACATGGCACAGTTGTTACTGCACCGTCATTTAGTACTTGCTTTAGGAAGTACTACATGACGGCATAATAACAGCTGTTATTGCACCATCCCGGTGGTGTGGTTATTTTTAGCAGCTATGTTGCCATAGTGACTTGCTATAGTGAGGCAGCTCAACACTATGACAACGTAGCATCACGGTTTGTGCCTGCTGATGCTAAGCCGCTCTAGCAATGAGCTACATTGCCAGTGTCTCGTGTAGACATGCCCACTAAGTCCTACTTTAGTTATGTAAGTACAAAATCATGAACGCTACGTGCCCCCAGAGGCTGGAGGGGCACGGTGACCTTCTGCAGGTGGCAGCAGTGCTGTCGGCAGCAGGAGCATGGCAGCAGCAAATGGGGAGCTCCTGCAGGCGGCAGTGGCACTGTCAGGGGTGGGGGGGTGGTGGCGACCGTCAACCACTGGTCAGCAACCACTCGCAGATACCACCGGCAGTGTCAGTGGTGGCCAGCGGCAATCGTGGACCACTTGCAGATGCCATTGGCAGTGTCGGTGGTGAGGGGGCAGGGTGGTGACTGGTGACTGCCTGTAGGTGCCGCTGGTAGTGTCAGCAGCGCCTTTTCGCAGGGGGTGCACTGCCACACTCAGGGGGTGCACATGCACCCATGTGCACCCCCTATGTGTCGCCAGTGTACAAAGTGGTGCCCCTGAAAACCTCTGCTCTAATTCTGACTAATGCTGGAGGCACCTGAACTCCAAAGAAGCCTCAGTTTTCAATGTTAAAGTTTCATTTCTGTGAAAATCCAAAACTGCTTCAACTGTGCTATGAGCTAGCTTATGTCGAACCCTGTCATGGTCCACAAAGTATGTGTCGTTCTGCTTATGTCCACTGAGGGGCTCAATCTGGTAGTTGAGCTCTGAAAACTTATTGCATGGTTAGTGGGGTAAGCTGCACACAAAAAAATTCAGTGGCAGCCATTGCTTTCGTTTGACATATGGCTGGAGAAGATGAGCAGGTGGAAGGGTTGGCTGCGGTGCCAGTTGCACCCTTGGTACAATCATTTGGTGATTACAGCAATCACCTAAGAGGTGGGAGAAGCAGGTTCATTTCTTTCCTTTGCTCCACACCCACATGTGTGCCACTTTGCAGAGAAGAATTAAAGATTCACTGGGCTAGAGTTGTGGATTCCACTCTAAGGACAGGCACCGAAGTTAGTTGTTTTCACAGAGCTCAAGTCCAGTTTTTGTTCTGGGTTTTAGAATTTTAGGGCATTTATACATGCGCTCCAGGAGTCTGTGTGTGTGTGTGTGGGGGGGGGGGGTGCTTTAATTAGAGTGGCTCCAAGAGCTGCTGTAATTAAAGCACCTGGAACGTCTCGTGTATCAGTGTCCCCGTACTTCCAAATGGTGGCAGGGGCACTTTATCTAAATATCATTGAATGGGGCTTGTGTAGAGACACTGATACATGAGTTGCATGAGGCTGCTGGAGTTTGGTAATTTCTACACTCCAGTCAACCTTATTCATCGAGTCTGGTCCAACGTGCTGGAATTACAGCAGGTTGGAGCAGCCTCCCTGCTTGTGTATAGGCACCCTTAGATTTTTTTTACACACTAGGCTTAAGGTTAATGCTTGGTATCTAGAGCCTGGAGGTTAGGGTCCTGGTCTTTATGCAACCATGGACTTACAGAAATACTTTGGGCAATTCGCTCTCTGTCTCTTCATGCCTCTGTGTCTGCATGACAAAATGTGGATAAGAACACTTAATGTACCACACATCCCTTTATTCATTTGTAAAGTGCTATAAGATGATTAGACAGAAGCCCACTAGATGCACAAAGAACGGCAATGAGTATTTATCTTTATCATCATAAAGCTTGTGTCTTACCTAATGTGATTAATAATAAGATTAGTAGGTGGTATAAAAAAATCATCCACTTCTTCAAATGGTGTCCGGATGATATGCTGATTTTCCCCTGCACTTGCCTCTGATATTACCTACAATAAATAACCACAAAGTTGAGCACAGTGAAAGCAATGAATAAAAGAAAAATAAGTTAATACAGCTTCCATAACTGTGTATTACACCAAAATGATTTTGCTGGATATCTAGTAGATTCAAATTGATTAATAACTTCAAAATATTGTTTGGAGTAGCAGTCTTGAAAAATTGTATTAATAAAATGGTATTTTAAGCCTGACATTTGTAAGTAAGTGCACAACTCTCTTTACTTTCATAAGACAATGCAATCATGCAGGAACTGAAATAGTGTGACAACGCTAAACCCACAGTAATCTATTCCACACTGTCTAAAATAAACATTTATTTCACGGTCATATTTATTAATCTCACTTAAATGCACAGTGATAATTCACTGACTTGAATGATCAGACACTAACTCACAGCAGTTAATTATCACTTTGCAGGAGAAGAAATGTTCACCCATCTATTGCACCGTATAAAATACACAGAAGAGCAGAAAAAGGCGCTTTTACTTTCTCAGTGTTGTCCTCCAGCAGCATGTATACCTTCTGCTGCCATGGAAACTCAGCTTTATTATCTCCCACAACCTCAGAAAAGAGGGGATAGAATTTTGCAATAATTAAAATGTTAAATACTGACATTGTTTATGGGGATTGTTTTTTGGTTTAAGATGGCTTAGGTCAATTCATTAGGAGCTTTTCTAATGTAATGTGCTAATAGTAGTTCTTTTGAATGTATGGCTTCACAATTCATTACAGGAAATCTGAAACCTGAAAAGGCTTAGTTGAGACATTCTGGTCATGCCATTTAGATTTCTTCCAATTAATTTGCTCAAGAAACATGCCAATTCTTGCAGAGTGTTTTCACAAAGCCAGGGAGTTGCCTATGCTGACTCCCCACAACTAGTAACAACTAAACAATGGCAGCCCATTACTAGGCTGCAGAGTTGTTTGATAAATTCCTAATTTCTGAGGACAGGGAGAAAAAGTAGAGCAAGTTATTTATACAGCGGAATATTTTTATTAGAAGGCTGTGGGAAACCTCTTCACGTTAGTCACTACAAACTTATTTGGGGGGAAAACCGGGAAAATGAAAGGTATGCTGCTGCTGCTGTTAATCTGATATTCTCCATGTGTAACTGAAAGGACCATCTGAGAGCTATAGCCTCATAACAAGTTTCCAGCTGTGCAGATAGTATATTCTTGTTAATAATCACAAGCCTGTGCCATCTTTCCTTTAATTACAGCAACCTCTCACAGCTGGATGGAAGAAATTAAGTGGGAAAGGGTAACGAGAACCTATTTTTTCTTCTTCCTGTACCTTGTACGGGGAATGGTTACCCGTAAAGGAAGCAAGCTGATTTTGCTTCAGAAACTTCTCTTTGCTTGTCATCATTCGGTTTCTGTTGTCTCAGGAATTGCAATTCTACACTCTGTTTCTAAACCCATCGGCCCATATGCAGGTTTTCTCATTTGTTTCGTGGGATCCAAATGGCTTGTCAAATATATGTGGCCATGCATGTTGTGTAGTGTCCTGGCAACAGGTCCATTGAAGGTGACTGTCGGTAAGCAAAGGACTGGCTTGATAGCTCAGGAAGCCACTGAGCTTTTCTGAGGGAACAGGGAGAGGAATCTTCCCAGCTGCAAGTGTGGAGAGGCTACATAGCCTACCTGACCCAACGTGATGCAGTGGACTCGATTTGTGGTTTCAAGTCACCAAGGGCTCTTAGATCATGTAGTCTGTCTTCTGTATACCACAACCCAGCTTAATTTAAGCAGTTTACCCTTCTGTTTAGAATAATAACTTGTACTTAGTTTAAGAAGATCATCCAGAAAAAATCTGGTGTCTATCTGCATCTCCCTCCTCTAAAAATGAGAGCTGAAAAAGATCCACTGCTGCTAGCGTGTAGCCATAGTCCATGACTTCTCCCTGGAGCCAAGTTCTGCGCTGCACAAGGGTTTCATATTCCCTGCATAAAGCCCTCCAGAACTTTATACCTGACCCCTTTACGCCTACAGACAAAAAGACAGGGACAGAACTTGCCATTTGGTTTGTTCTAAAAATTCAGAATTTGCCCCATTTTTGTGTATGCTGCTTGCCTCCCCCTTCTTTTTTCTCCCCCCTGCCTCGAGGGCTGCTTTGGAAGCTATCCAACCATTTTATTCAGTAAGAAGGATTTGAAGCTGAGTTTGCAGAATTTGTTCAATTATTGCTCCTTTTTACCTCCCAATATTTTAATTCTCTGAAGCAGTGAACAACCCAGGGTGTTTGTCTTTTAATGAAATTAGAACTTTAGAAATCTATTGAAAATTAGAAACATTCAAATATATTGAAATGAGAAACATTAGAAATCCACTGGGAAATATTCTTAGCCTGTGCACTGTAGTTATCCCCAAAAGAAGCAGAAGGGGAAGGGGAAAGGAAGTGAAATAAAACCAGTGGAATTCAATGAAAACAAGCAGCAATGCAATGTTCGGAAGAAAACAGGTCAGAGTTGTCCTAATTTGCACTCCTTAAGAAATGGTCTCTTTGACCACATCAGACGAGCGCAGATGTTTGTTTCCCTGGGGAAAAGTAGCAGGACACACCTTGTCCCCAGGGGACCCCTGTGCCATGCATGCTGTGGTGCATGGCAGGTTACCCAGGTGGGGTAGGAGAGGCTGGGACCAGCAACTGTGCTGGCCCCAGCAGCCTTATCTGGGGTCCTGGGGGCCTCCCGGGCCTGCAGCTGTGGCAGAAAGCCTGGCTGGCAGCTGGAGTGTGGCTCTGACTGGCCAGTCTCCAGTTTTGTGCGGCACATGTTGCTGCCATGTGCGCTGCCCTGCCCTTTTTGGGTGTGGGTTTTTTTAACTCCAGGATCTCCCGGGGTCAAAAAAACCCCTCCATGCTGCAAAGTAGCAGCACAGGGAATGCCTGCATGCACCACATACCCAATGTCTGCATTTGTCTGGATGCGGCCTTTTAACTGTTGTATAGGTTCCAATATTTCTTCACTAGAAAGAGAGGTGTGCCCATATAGTTATCTTGTAAGCACTTTGAGCCAGGTGTGCTTTAAGGATCCTGTCAAACTGAAGTGAGACTACCTAAATCACTGTGAACATTATCTGCATATTTATATTTTTCTCAGTTGGCTACCAACTATTTCTATATGTCCTTCCATGAGGCTCTGTTATCAATCCTGAAACAAAATGGGCACCGGCTGTTCAGCAACCCCCCTGCTGGTCTACAGCATATAAACTTCTCAAAACCAAATCAAACTATCGGAAGTGCAGAGATGCAGGGGGGAGCAGGAAAATGCACAATGGATCTGTCAAGACACAAAATGCTGTTATAGCCAACAGCGCTGTTAGAGAGAAATGCTAACTTACCTGCAGTGTTGGATGAGACTTCTGCATATCACCCCAGCTAAGGACCCAGACTTGGTCATGTGACTTATCATAATGTAATTTGGTAGGTAGGGGATCAACATCCACAGACTTCAAAGAACAGAAATAGAAGTGTTTAATTTTATTCAGCAAATTAAAGGTGGCTCATGCAGATTTATGGTAACATTGACTTGCAAACATCGCTAGAGACATGGCCATGAAGTACCACTTCCTCTGCTTTGGCAAGGAAAGGAGCGTGAGCACTCGTCTCACACTAGAACTTATAGTCAGTAGAACAGGGACCATAGATTCATAGATTGTGGAGTCGGAAGGGACCACAAAGGATCCCCTGCCCCTGGCAGGAAAGAGGACCGAGGTCAGATGACCCCAGCCAGGTGACTGTCAAGCCTCCTCTTGAAGACCTCCAAATTAGGTGATAGTACCACCTCTCTTGGACCAGTTTCAACTTGAGTTATGCCTGGGCAATGGCATGTGTTTCAACCTGGCTGAAACTAAGATTAGGCTCAGCAAGTGTAGGTTGGACATATTTTTGAATCTAGATAGCTGCAAACTTGGCTCCAGACACTGTGCAAAGACTATCTAGGCCATAAAACAGTTTTTCTTACACTGAGGTCATAGCCTGGTCACTGACTTGGAGTTACCTGATGGGTCAAAACAGTACCTGCCCAATTTATTAGCAGAGTCAGCAGCTCCACTGGGCAGGAACCTAATTTTTTGGCATATCATCACTTTTTTATGGTCCATGAACACATTTCTCCCTTGATACATACCTGCATGACTTTCTGGGTCTGGATATCAATAATCAGTATTCTATTTTGCCTGGGCTGTGTCACATAAATATACTTGTCTCTGACATTGATGGCTGAAGCCCAGAGGCAGGACTGAGTGGCTTCACCTTCAACTTCAGGACATATCTCTTCCTAAAAAAAAAAAAAGAAGAAGAAGAAGAGATAAGGTTTAATATGCCTGAGTTGAGCTCCATGCTTTAAGCAGCATGCACTGCATTGATTAAAACTCCACAGGCCCACATTATTTCTTTTATGTTTTTCCCCCGGAAAACATGAAATAATTGTCAGTTTAGGAAGCGCACTGCAGTCTGGACCTACCCCAGTGAGACTAAGGAACTGTGCCCTGCTGCAAGCTCACATTCATATTCAAATAACTACAACACTGCACAGAACAGACTTTTGAAGTCTGGCTGGTACAAGAAGACTTATGGTGCTGCCAACATTTATTAGCAATAGAATCCTCATTCTGTGGTTTAAAAAACACTGATTTATGTTTAATGGAAGTACTGCATTATAGTATTCCTCTTGCCTTCATTCTCAGGTTTAAGAAATCTTACAATGAGGTGTTTGTGCTCTTACAACAGCAGCAGAAGAGAAGTCACTTTATCCTACAACCCTCCCACAGACATATAGCAACTATCATGTTTTTGACTAAATCCTGTTCACCTTATTCACAGCTGCATAGTTCCTTTAATCCGAAAGGACTAAAGATTTGCTCTGTTTTCTCTAGTGTTTTTTTCTCTCTTAGTATCCCTTCATTTTTGTTTCCCATGAATGGGTTTGATTTCTTTAGTATTATTACATACCTAGAAATAAACTCCAAACAACAAAAATCTTGCCTTACAAGAGCAGGTATCAATTTTTTAAGTTAAAAAAGTAAGACTGAGAAGGCTAGATTCTTTCTTCCATTATGCTACTCTGTGGCCAAGTCCAGACATGCACATATGTGGTTTGTGGTGCCGCAAACCTCTTTGCAGCACCACAAACCACACAACCAGAATGTTAAAATGTGCCCTGCATTTGAAATTTGCAGTGTGGGGGCATATTTTGCTACCAGTATTTCCTAGTAGGGAAAAAAAAGGCAGGAAAAAAAGGCAACACAGTGCATGCTACAACAAATAGAGGCTGGTTCCTCCAGGGAGATGCTCTGGCTGCTGGCCAGAACATCCTATTATTTCATTTGTGCCCTGGCTGCTGGGAGCCGGGAGGAGTGGGGAAAGGGCAGTTTGCCCAAAGCGGGACAATGCGTCTCTCACCAAAGTGCACATTCAAGGATGTGGTTTTTTTGTTGTTGCAAGTGCACACCCCTACCCATCTGGACATGGCCCGTGGGTACAAAATGGGCTTTGGTTTTGGGGGACAGAACATCTGCATCTAGGTCCTATTTCCACCTTGCCACAGCATATGACTGTGCTGGGTATCAACAATCATCACCCTCTGTGTTGTTTTTTAGGCGTGAAACAGAAGATAGACCAACTGGGAGTGAGGTTATTTTTAAAATATCTCAAAATCTGACTAGTGATTTGTTTTTGAACACGTGGGAGTTGGCACCACGGAGCAGCATAAATCATAGACTGCTCACTGATGAGCCTCCATCCTTCCTACTGGACCAGATGGAAACGTGGTACACCAGAAAATCTAGACCCCCAAAGAACGGTCCACATTCATACAGCGAGTCAGTAGGTTGCCTTGAAACAACATGGTCTCCTGATTTCCTCCCTGAGAGGTGAATGTCCACTGGATGACACTTGTTTCTCTCATTACAAAAATCTCTATAGACCAGGGGTCGGCAACCCCCGGCATGCATGCTGAGCATGGCATGCAAGGCCATTTTCCTTGGCCCATGTTGGGGCCGGGGAGGCAGCAGCTGTTTGCAGCCTCCCGGCTGCAGTCAGCCCCAGCTCTGGGTAGCTGCTGCCAGCTGGGAGCCTGGGCTGCTCCCAATAGGCAGCTGGGACACTGCAAGCCCTGCTGGGAGCATCCCAGGCTCCGTGGCTATGGCTGGGGCCCAGGCCAGGGTGGGAGAGCAGCAGCTGTTTATAGCCTCCCAGCTGCAGCCAGCCCCGACTCTGGGTAGCTGCTGATAGCCACAGAGCCAGGGCTGGGGGGCAGGGGCTTTGGGTAGGGGGCAAGGGTCATGAGCAGGGCTGGGGGGCAGGAGCTTTGGGTGGGGGGCACAGGGCAACAGCAGCACAAAGTAGGCCTTTTGATGTTCTCCTTGTATTTTTAAACTGTAAGTAATTGTGGACCTGACCCTACACCCATTGAATTCCACATCAAAGTGGAAGTGCACTTACTGGCACTTCAATTAACTTCAGCAAATACTTAATAATACCTTGTATCTGTAGGGTCACAAGTGAGCTTGGAAAAATTCATACCTGCAGACTGCCTATTCATTCCTTCCCTTCCTTTCCAGCTATTTTGTTTTGTAGACCTTGTCAACACAGAAAACATCTATTGTTCTAACTATAGAATATAAACCATCTAGTTATAGTACTATAGTTTATTTCTGTATTACCAGGGGAATAAGTTATACTGCTATAAACACATTATTATCAATATAATGCATTGATGCAAAGGGTTCAGTATAAAGATTACAGTTAAACCATTACAGCTGCAACTCATATAGTTACAACAGTCCAGAATTTGTGTGTAGACTAAGTTTTGAAGACTTGTTCTCCAAGTTCAGTGAGTTCTGCATAAGGGTCTGCCAGAATTTTGCAGCCAGCCAAAGTCTAGTCCTGCTTGCTTTTAGTTGGACTTACAAAAGCTCTAATAACTGTTTTGACATTTTTTTAAAACTCTCTTTTTCCTTTCTTTCTTGGGTTCTTTTCAAGGTTCTGGGCTACTTTTTCAACAGTTCTTCAGAAAAGAATCACAGAGGTCTGCTTTTGAGTCGTAACAGCTGTAATAAGGTTTAATAATATGTCCGTGCTGAGGGATAACCTGGGTGAGGATCAGAGTCTGGGTTTATAGGAAGACATATTAAAATACTCCAGTCAAGAAAAGGCTGTTAAGCACAGAGTTTTCAAGACTTAAAAAAACCCCCAACAACTTATTGAGCATAAAGAGTTTGGTTCACAAAGTGTGACTGACTCTCACAAGGCTTGGTTAGGTCCCACACCTCTAAAGGAGTTAAGTAAGGTCATTTGTAGATGTGCTCACTATTTTCTAAATCGTGTTAGCTGATTCACATCACCCTGTTCAAATCAAATTTCAATTTGAATTAAGGGCTAATAAATGATCACTGACCATCAGCCTGTTAACAGTCCCAGTTCTCAGCCTCTGTGTGGGTTTATGTGCCTAGCCCTTGGGATTGGAAGTAATTAGGAGGTGAATAAGCCTTTTTAAGCATTGCTACATTGTTGCAAACCTACTGCAGTTATCTAAAATGCTGTTCCGAGCTATAATGAGTGTAATTGCCCTGAGTGTTGATGACCATCTCAGGCAACATGTTGTGGGGGAAGGGGGGCAAAGAGGGCTTCCCCACTCCTTCACAGACCAGTAGCCCCTGTGCTTGTGTAGGGCTGGGGGCTTAGTCAGGATACTGATACTTAGTCCAACTTCCACCTAGAAGTATTGTTGGCACATTTGATTTTGTAAAGATATTACTTTGTGCCTGATAGCCCCTGTTGTGTTGCAAAAACCCAATTTAGTTTCCCTTGTGGGGATTGATGTTTGCAATACTTATCTGATGAATTCCTAAGGACTGTTTTTCCTAAAGCAATGCTGTGTGTATATACATATATAATGAATACAGTTTAAATTGCCTAGTTCGGACAGCCCTAGTCTGCATTACTTTTAATCTGCATTCAATGGGGATTCATTCATTTGGCCTGGAGTTAATTTTAATATGGACTGCAGGCATCCACGCATATATAGTGACCACTGTAGTCTGGATTAAATTTAGAAAAACATAACATCTACAAATGGCCTATGTGTCTAACCCAAATGACAGGGACGTGCCTACTTCTGCTTCTGATTCAGGTTCTTTCCAGGAGTTAAGCGAGCAGGCCCGTCTTTCAAATACCAGGACTGAGGACCACCGCCTGGTGATCACTGACAGCCCACCTGCTTCCCCACTGTGGGGGAGGAAGAGTGGGTCACAGGCCCACAAAGGCTGCAGTGCACTTACTGACAGCCAGCCACCTCCCAAGCTGGGGATCTGCAGCATGCTCACAGCTTGTTGGTGAGCTCACTGCAACCCCCAAATCCCTGGGGGACTGCTACCTGTTTCCCTTTCTGCACAGTACAGGAGCATGCAGGCTCCCAGTGATTGTAGGACTGAATAACCTGAAACACCTGCATGCCTTTAGGATGGTTTTGCTGCACTCCAGCCAGTGTGGCTTGCCTTGTCTCTTATGTCCATAGTTCTGTGGCACTTTTAATACCGCAGATAGAAAGTCTGTCAGTGGCCTGTGAGTCATTCTCATTGTCTTTTTCAGTCCCTTACTTCTCTGCCTCCTTTTGGCCCCACAGAGACTTCCTTCCTGAGTGCCATGTGGGCTGGGTTCAAGAGGAGAGCTGGAGAACCCTTTGGGCAATGGTGCACCTGACCTGGTGGCTGGAGCACTTTGCTAAGAAGTAGGTGTAAATTCAAGACTCATATGGGGCACACAGGGCCTAGGACCTAGATCTCTTGTGCCTTGGGCAAACACTAGGCTAAATGGTGGGAGGGATACCATCCTCTTACATCTAGCACTCAGTCACTAGTCATGATTTTCTGCAACTAAATTTCAGGATTTACCCAGTATTGTGTATGTATGTGTGTGCAACTCTATCTGCACCAGGTGTTCAGGCAGCCAGAGAACAGCCTAATGAGCACATAGGCAAGGTTGCTACTCTGAATCCCACCAATTTGTGAGTGCCACAAACTGCAGATTAGATCCATGAAGGTGAATTAGAATCTGGAATTGCCCACGGCTGCCCCTGCCCTCTCCAGGGACCAGAGCCCCACAACTGCTAGCTCTGGGGGAAGGGGGAATCCTGTTCATCCCTGTTCACCCCCCGCCCCCACCTCAGTCCTGGCTGGGCCTGACACCTGGCAGAAGGCAGGGCTGGGGACATAGGCTTTGCTGACTTGGCTCTGTGACAGACAGCCTGGGGGCAGGGCCCAGCGGGCACTCGGCCAGAGCAGCTGAGCATGGGCCAAATTCCAGCGCACCTCCTTGTAAGGTGGGACTAGTGGGGTCTGGCAAAGGAGCCTGGGTTGCCAGCGGACAGTGACCTAACTTGATTCGATAGATGATCTGGTGCACCCAACTAACCTAATTCACAGACGTGTGAGTGCACATCCATCCAGGACCATCTTAGACTGGGTTCTGCCATTTTTACTCCAGCCTATATGCCCTGAACTTCTGTACAGTTACAGGTTTGGTTTGATTTCCAAACATTTAGTCCAGATTATGTGTAACATCTGTACCTGGCCTATGTGCCTAATGTGAACCTACTCCTCTGCTCAAGGCCCTGAAAAACACTTAAAATGAAGGGTAGGTTGATCTTTCTGTTCTTTGCGTTTAGTGGCTTAGTCTTACGGCTAAGGCGATTTGTGTTCTTCCTACCCTTCCCACCTCGACTCGGCTATTTTTAGCCCCCTGACCTCACCATCAGTAAAAGTTCAGTTACATTGTATAGGATTGTTCATTAAGAGTGATGTATAAAAGCATCGGCTAAGAACTAGATAATCAACTAAATTCTTTGTAATCTAAACAAGCAATCAATACTTTTGGTCGTTACTCACCAAATGATCTGAACAGATAAACTAGAGGTGAAAATCTTGCATGGATTTGAGCAAATTAAGCAAAAGCTGTGCAGCACATTAATAATATTCTGTCAGGATTGTAACGTGTGTAGTTCCCATAGATTTCAGCTGTGCCCACTATCTGCTGGTACATGTTTGACTGGGTGTTATGAAGTTGCTAGTTGTGAATCTCTGATTTTAAGCTATAAGTATATTGGGTTCAGCATTTGGGGAGCTGGCAGCAAAGGGTGGTCCTCCGCTAGCTGACAGCAATCAGAACACAGCGGTGCTGCAATCCCTTGCTATTCTGCTACCCATACCTCCCCTGCTCCTGTAAACTCTAGTAAATGGGCATAAAAGCCAGGTATACCATGTCTGCATTTGCTCTTCCACAAACTGGGAGCCCTCAGCTGGGTGCTTTTTTGCCCCCATTCTGAATTTGGTAGTTCACTTTGCATAGGCTGAAATGTCTCCTTGACATGCTCTGTACTGCCAAACCAGACCCAAGGCACTCTGCGATTCTGAAGCTAAGGTTCCTGCAGCGTCTATATACCTCCTTCCTCACTCTCAGCTGGACGCATTCAATATAATTTTCCCTTCCTGACTCAATCCTCTATACAAGTATAAGCGGACTGATGATGTGGATACCTTATTTCAGTAACTTACATAACTTGTAAAAATTCTTTCATTGGGTTTGACGTGTCTTCGGATCTCACATTCATTTGGCTGAATGATTGTGATGCCATCATCAGAAAAGACATAAAACATGTTTCCCACGCTGAGGCCTTTAAGGAAAGAAACAAAGCGAAAGAAGTGGGGAAAAAAAGATTATGCCTTCTAAACTTTTTTGTTTGAAGAATTAAAAAAAACCCCCAAAGAAACAAACAAACAAAAATCACCTTACATCAAAATTGGTCATTTGGATGCATTTGGTGCATTCACAAAATCAAATTTCATGTCACAACGAGGGCTTCAAGGTGTGAGGAAGGAAGTACAGACATATTCAAAAATGCATTGCCTTGGTGGTGGCAGTTATAAAATCATCAGGTAAATGGAGGTCTTGTACACACACACACACACACACATATATATATTTGTATCAAAATCTGAATCAGAGAAGCCCCTGTGTGACCTTGTCCAATCACGACGCCCTGTTTTTCACTGCACAACAGAAATAGTTTGCTACTAATTTCACAATTGAGAAGCTTCATCCAGCATGAATCTGAAACCCATCCACTTACAATTAATTTGTCCTTTTGTAATTTCGTAAGAGCAAAGCTGTTTGTTTATTCCACGAGGTATTTTTTTGAAAAATAAAATCCCGTATATAAAACCATCCAGATGAATGCAAAAGCCACCAAAACAAATACATTTTTGAAATTTTGCAAACTGTAATTCACAAATGTGGAGTTTTTAGCATTGCAAGAGCACTCGTCTATCCGAACTGGGGCATTCCAGGAACTTTTTGAAAAAAAAAGTCTGCTTCTTAGTGGATTTCTGTTAAGAGATCATATTTTCACATTTCTGTTAAACAGAAATGCTACAACATTGATAGTTTGTTTTCTCTTCAGCTACATGCAAATGCAGTAATGGATATTTTAGAAGGTGGGTGAGGGATCGTTTCAGAAGGTTTACTTAGAAAGATCCCAGTACCTCTTACATTTTTACACCACCCTGCCAAGTAAATTCTTTCAATGGCCATTGTCATCCCAGGTAATGTTGATAGTGTACTTATCTGCCAAAGTTCCACAATACTGAATGTGAAAATATGTTTTTAATAACATTATATTCTCCATGAATGATAAGGTCCCAATCCTACAAATAGGAACAATTTTGAGCTACTATTTTTTCTTATAATAGACTTGTTAGGGCTATTCACATCTACAAAGTTACTTACACACATTAAATGTTTGCAGGATTGAGGCCTATATCATCCTAGGAGATTTTTTTTTTAAACAAAAACAATGGGGCAAACACATTTATAACAAATTTCATAAAATGTTTGGTATCTTTATTTGAAATTTCACTATGGGGAAGAATAAACTCTCCTTCCATTGAATATTTGGTATCAAAGCAGATCTGAATGTAGAGCCTCTTCATCTTTTGCTATGTTTGGTGTTGCACAAAGATTTTGATACTTTAATTTTAGCTTCTGAGCCATATCACAGAAATACCCCAGTTAAGGCATCAAGCGGATACATGAGCTGTGATCCTTAAATGTGATGCCACAGTGAGGGATCATGCATTCTGGAAAAAGCAAAAAATATTGGATTTCAACTCAAGCTTTACTTAGGAATAAGTAGTGCGGTAGGTGCAAAGGGCCAATTTTTCAAACGTATATTGCCAAGTCATTTGCCCAGGCATTATGGACCAAAACCCACACTCACTGCATACACACAACTCCCATTTTTGATGGGAACTGACAGCATACATCAAAGGACAAATTATGGTCCTTTGCTTAATGAGTGCATATGTAAAAAGAATGTATTTTAAGAAGTGGACTCAGCCATGCAATAAGTCATGACACTTGTGAGAAATGCTTGTTGCTGTTGTCATCCTTATAGTTCATCTTATTTTGTCTGATGATTTGGTTAACAACCGGAATGCACATTTCAGATTTTAGATGCATTCATCCTTTTATTTTAGCTCTTCATTGACTTGAAGTCAGTCACTCTGCAAGTAGCTTCAGTTATTTTGCAGTATTTTAAGCATTCTGATTTTTTCCAGTAAAGTTAGCGTGAGATTTTCGTTAACTTGGATATAAGCAGATGTTATGTATTACATTAAGATGCTGAAAGTACGCTGTAAGCCTTATAACCAGGATTCAATGTAAATATTTTTAAAATCAATGGCCTTCACGTGATTTATTAAATCATACTTTTACATTTTCCTCATTATGCATGGAATTCTGCCATCACATACACCATCCTGACTGGCACTAATGATCCCACTGGTGTCAATAGGTGGGAACGGACATTTGGGGAGGTTAGGAGGAGCTTAGGTCCCATTAAAAATGGCCTCCTGACCTAAGTTAGTTCCCCCACATCTGGACCTTACACTTGGATCCCTTGTGAAGTCGATCCAAATACAAACTGTACAGAAGTTCTAGGAATGCTAGATCACTCAAAAATGGCTGACTTGATCTAATTTAACTGTACCTCTGAAGTGCACTAAGTTAGATCGATTTCACTGAACATCTGTACATGTTCTGAGCACAGCTGGCCTTAACCCCAGGCTTGCACTTTTCCTATCTCCTCTGCCACTGGACTATTTTTATCCCCCTGGCCCTTCCTGCCACCCTGAGATGGACAACTCCCCCGCCACCCATAATGGCTGACTTGATCTAATTTAACTGTACCTCTGAAGTGCACTAAGTTAGATCGATTTCACTGAACATCTGTACATGTTCTGAGCACAGCTGGCCTTAACCCCAGGCTTGCACTTTTCCTATCTCCTCTGCCACTGGACTATTTTTATCCCCCTGGCCCTTCCTGCCACCCTGAGATGGACAACTCCCCCGCCACCCATGGACCAGCCAGCCCCATGGTTCTACTGGTGTTTGCCAGTGCTAGGAGCCAATCGAGGTAAGTTGGCATGGGGGGAGGGGTGGGCGGGATTGGGGGAATAGTTTTGCTGGAGGGGGTTCTTTATTTGGGGTGGGGAAGCAGGAGCTAAAAATAGCTCCTGGAGAGCCCCCTTCATCCTCCTACCTCCCCCATGCCCCACCAACCCCCCCATAGAACCACAAGCTCTACCAACCCTGCCAATACACCCAGGAAGCCCCAGCCCCCTGATCCACCTCCCTCTTCCCCATCCTGACTTACTTAGGTCAGGCTCCCAACACTGGCAAATGCTGGTAAAACCAGCCTTGGGAAGATTTGAGGGGTCAGGGGCAATTTGGTGCTATTGGGGTGGGAAGGGAGGGCACTGGAGGGATCTGGGAGGAGGGTTTTGGTGGGATTGGAGTGGATGTCTGATCCTGCCAAACCTCCCAAGTCTCCCAAGCCCTCCATAGACCCTGCTAGCCCCCCAATCCTATCAACCCCCCTGCAGACAATGTTAACCCCCTAATCCCTCCAACTCCCCCTGCCCAACAGACCCTGCTCATTCCCCTTGATCTTGGCTGCCCCTCCCCCTCCCCCAATTTACCTTAGATCAGACTCCTGGCACCTATCTAAGAATCACTGAGTTAGATCAGGGAACCATTTTTAACCTGATCTAGCCCCCCAAATTTATTACAATACTGTCTGTACAAAGCCAATTGGACAAATTCTGCTCTCAGTGATGTTGGTAGAAACCTAATAAGCCTGTAATGCTTTAAAAAAATGTAGGAACCATTTTTTCTTTTAATATATGGAGCCTTATATCTGGTAACAAATTCAAAACACTTTATGAAATCCAAGTCTGGCTTACTGTAGCAGACATGTAATAAAAGGCAAACTAATGCATTGCCTGGTTTCCCTTAGCATTGCATTACAGATGAAGCTTGGTGCAGGTGTCCTTTACTTTTTAAATCACCAAAAAGAAACACAATATGATGTTTTCTTGATTAAGGAATCAATTCTGATAACATGATTTTTCCTTGTTCATGGATCATTATTTATGTTCTTTCCTCTTGCCTCTCTCCAGGCATAATAGAAGCTACTCCAAACTTCATAATGAACAATAATGTGATGATCAATTCTACTTTAGAGCCATCCACTATTTTCTGTGTAGAAAAAGCATGGAAACAAATAGTGTTGGGGTGATGCTGAAGTTGTGATGGTATAAGAGAAATGAGAGGGGCAAGAATTTTTGTAGGTGATATTTGGAAAGGTTTATGTCCATCCCAGCTATACTATACAGTTTGTTCAGTAAAAGATACTACCCACAAAAGTCCTTGCTCCTCACATGTAAAGAAGTATGCTTCCTGATTATGACATATGCTTCCAAATATCTTATTATAGCATGTTTCTGTTTTAGTTATTTTGTAAAGAGTTTTGAAAATATAGTCTTTTTAAAATGATCAACTGCAAGTTTTTAAACTCTGACTTCACGCAAAAAGCTTGCTTCATACACTGTAACATCTAGTGATTTACTTGCATTATAGGTTACTACTGTATCTATGATGGCATGAGACTCATCCTCCTATGGGGCTTCCTGTCTACCAAAAATGGTTTATAATATCTGACACAAGAGATTTTATTTTAAATATAAAAGTAAACCCCTTTCTTCAATAAAAGCTCCTCTCTTCCTCACTGAGCCTTATTCTATGTCAAATTTTATAACACTAACATATTTGTTCAGTGAATCCTTTCCTCCAGGATGAATTTGCAGATCAGATAGTTTACAACTTTATATCTACTAGGTAGAGAAAAAAATTGAAACAATCTCACTCTGAACCTGCTGAGTTGTTTCAAGAACATCAACAGTAAATCTGTCATTACTAGCGCCGTGTGTCTTCCTATAACTGTTCACAGTTTAATTTATAAAGTACACAAGTTTGATTTACAACTGCTATTCTCTGTTTAGGGTACTATTACGCAACGTTACATAGTTAAAGTCCTTGTATTCCTTTAAATATCACTGTATATATTTTTTCTTTTTTTTGTTGCATGTAAAGTTTTCTTCCCTCTCCAATTCCTTCCTCTCTAAGAAAGGAATATGTATTAAAGTAGGTACCACATTATGGGGTACCAAATATATAAATGACTATGCAGTACCATATACACGAGGCCTGATCGATTAGACTAAAATAAAAAGGTCAGTTTGGCAATAAAAAAAAAGGCAATTGCATTCCTATTTATTCCTCTTTATTCCCTCCATTAAATAGAGTAAAGCAAATCTTAACCTCAAGTTACCACAGTGCCATTTACATGATGCTCAGCTGTGAAGGGACATTCTCCATCACTGGGCATTACATGCTAGCAGGTGGTGTTCTGGGAAATAAGTGTGGGAAAACTGTTTCAGGACAGTCTGCTTAGGTTAGTGATTCTGCCACATCTAATGACCTGAAGCCTGCTGCTTTTACACATCTGCTGTCAGTATTACTGCAGGGGACTGGACAACAGACACACTCTGGGTGTTCACATGCCAGGATGAAAAAATACAGGTCACTAAACACTGTCACTTTCCTTATGCCTCTCTATTCCTAAGGGCAAAGCAAAAGCAAAGCAAAAAACCCTAGGCTGAGAGAATGCAATATGATTTTTCTTTCTGGATAAGGCAGAGGAGTGGCTGTGAAATGGCCTTTGCACTCTTCTCTGGTTGGATTGTTTGGGAATAGCAGGAAAACATGCTTATACCAGACTTATTTCGTAATACTTGCAGACCAGAGATATCCAGGTTTCTCTGTGTGCACGCCTGGCAATACAATTTGGAATTGCCTTATGGATTGGGCCTGGTCTCACATGCATTCACATCTTTACACTGTTTGCAAGGCTGGTTGTTTCATGGGCCAGAGCCAGGTTTGCAAGTAGGTTGTGGACACATTCACAAGAGCCAAAAAAATCCACAGTGCCGATATTTGTGCATGCAGTTACCACAGCTATGTATACATGTGACAGACTTCTAAATATCTAGTCTGGGCACAACTTTTAAACTAGTTTTGCATACTCAATTACTGTCACTGCATGTGCAAGCTGGTATAAAGACATCTTAGCACTCTTTCTTTTTCAATATTGAGAGCACATGCACACAAAATCAAAACCACTTTTGGTTTCAACTGTCCCTGTTCTAAGTTTGCATCCATTAGTTGCTCAGAATACTTTTTCTTTAAATTAGTCTTCAAGTTGCACATACTTTGACCTTGTGCGGGGCATACTGTAAATCTGATAAGACAAGAGATCTTAATTGCCAATTAAAACAGCATGTAATAGGGCAACCTGTGCCCTGAATATATTGAAATGATATGAGCAAAACTTACTGCTTCACCCACCAAACATGAACACAAACAATTTGTGTGGTTTAAATAATACACTTTAATGCTTGGTAATAAAAAACCTGGCAAATAATAGATGGAAACACTTTTTGTAATGGCACATACTGAATTGAAGTTTGTGCTTGTTCATTTACCATTAATTATTTTTGTTGTGGAGGTTTTCTTATTTGTTAAGGATGTGATATTAAATTACACCGATGAACAGTTCTGTCAAATGCAGAATTGTATATACTTCACGATCACCTCTCATTTTATAGGAAAAATACATATGAAATTATGTCCAGGATTTATATCACAGAATAGACGAGCTAATTTGAATGGGTTGGCTTTTGAAAGTCTGGTCTATACCTAGTGTGACAACTGGGAGAGTTGATAAAGTCAGTGGAGAATGGCCCATTATGGAATTATTAAAGCAGACAAGCACATTATCACTACAACAAAACAACTTTACTGCAGTACCTTCCTCTCGCCACAGTATGTTTGCAACTGCAGCATCAGAAAATTGGGGAAGCCAGAAAATAATCAAGAAAAGGAAAAACATAAAACAATGTCAAATTTTTCACTGTAGCAATTAACTGAATCAATACTCTTGTTTAAATGAACTACTTAGTTTGTAAAAACGTCATAGCATTCATCCAGGCAAAATAAAACATCAGGAAAAATAAGCATTCTTAAAGTCAAGTTTCCTGTCTTGGGAGAGTCCTGAAGTCTTACTAGAACAAATGGGACTTTTGCCTGTGCAAACACATAGGCTCAAACCTTAATGAACAGTGATTTCTTGAATCTAATTGTAGATATCGTACAGGCAATAATTTTGTGTACATTGTCAATAAGCAAACATAACATCTTTCTGAAGCCTTGAGATGACAGGTAAACCATCTAAACACTTTGCAGTATTTCTTCTGGGAATTTAGGAAACAACATTGTATTTTCATTTATGGTTCAAATACCATCCTTAGGTACCCTTGTGATTGAATTTTTGTTCAAAATATATTAAATGATTTGCCAGTTGAAATTCCCTTGCTCAAGCATTCAAGGTAGAATGAATGATCTTAGTAACAGTATGGAATTCTATTTAATGAACAAAAGAATATGTTTTTCCAAAGTATTGCTGTGGGCATGCAAGCTTATTTCTTATTATCTATTTCAATATGTATTCTAGGAAGGTGAGATAAGCAGCAACATATTGTTTACATGTGAACCTCTGATCTCAATATGCACCCTTAGGAGCATCATATACACAAATACTTGGAAAGGAGTATTTTTAGCAATTACTCCAGAGTGGCAGCTAATCAGTCTTTCCAATAGTTCACTCTCATGTTGGGAAGTACTGCAAAGATAACACTGTTGCATACGTAATGGTAACAGTGGCTAAGAAGTAAACTGTGAAATATTTGACCTGGAAAAAAAATCATACTGTTTTGACAATCTGTTTTACTCCTATGATGTAGGCAAACTAAAAGCTTATAACCAATCTAATCTGATAGCGTCCCTTAAAGTTTCACAGCTCACTGTTTAAGACAGCCAGCTATTGCATTATGCTGCATATAATTGGCTTGAAAAAGGAAAGACCTGCATAAAGTGAACAATGACATTTCTTTCCTAAAATCATGTCACCATTAGAAGAAATCTTTTGGTTTGGATTGTTTGAAAGCCAACAGTGTAAGCAGTGTATTTTTTTAGTAAAGATACTCTCCCTACCCATATTTCAACACATGCTGTCACATAAAATGGCCTTGTGTGGTTCTAAAGGGAGTCTTTTCTCTTACTCCTGTTTTTCAGAAAACATACGAATTTGCTCCAGTGTAGACAAAACTCCCACTGGTGTAGCTGGAGTGCCACATAACGCATATAATGATTGCAGGACTGAATTGTAGTGATACAGTTGGTTGATGACTGTTTTAGTGGGGTTCTCAAAAAGAAAAAGGGAAAAATTCAGCTTACGGGTTTTTCTGGCTGAATCTTCAATGAAGAGAGAAGATATGTCCTCATCCACTCCCACTTCATTTTTGGCGATGCAGGTATAGGCACCAGTGTCTTCATATCGAACACTACTGATATGAAGTTCACTTCCATTTGCTGTAACAAAGACATCCATAAGGTGTGTTCCACTTGACCGTAACGATGTTATGCAACTGCTCTAACTTCCTCAAGGCAACTTCTCACCTGAGCTTTGGTGATACACGCCTGCATGCAAGCTATAGGTTTCACCTGAGAATGTTTTCTGTGACTCAGCTTAGAGTTTTGAGGAGTTTTCATCAGAGCCCGTGAATTGCTAACGGCTGAAATGTTGCCTCTTTCTATTAGGAAACTTAGCCTTTCCACAAAGAAATAAAGATGAATTCCATACCCAAACAGCGATTTAGCGATTTACCCCAGATAAAAGCATGTCATATTACTTTTTGCATTTATGAAAAAAATCATAAAAATTCTAAATGAACTTTTTTATAAAACCAATGTAAACCTGATTTTTCACTATTTTAGCTGAAGGTATTAATTTTGTCTACATAATTCTGGCTATCATCTTTTTTTCCTATCGATAGCCATCATTTTAAGTACTTTTTCTTGCTTTCACATTTTTGGCTGCAATGCTTCAGTGATACATATTGTGGCCAACAGCATAAGGGCTACCCCCCATCACTGTAGGGTTAGAATTATAGCACTTGGTGGGTAAGTAGAACTTAGCATTCTTAGCACTTACCCACAAAATGCTAACATGCTAGTTGAACCCACATGTAACCCGGCTTTGCACTTAGCTTTTGAAAATGAGGTCCAAAATTAGCAGCGAGGAATAATTTCATCTGCAGTTATTAGTATGAAAACAAGATGCATGACTCAGAGCCTGATTTGCAGTTGATTTGCATCGTGCATAGACAGTTGCACCTAAACAAAATGGATGTAATATATTGTCCTTCTGATCTGCACTGATTTACACAAGAGGCAAGGCACTCAAGAATAAGGCATTCTGTCTCTTAAGAGAATGCTGTTACCACTTATATCAATCAGTATCATACTTGAGATATTCATCAGAGAAATAGATAAAAAAGGAAGGAACGCGTTTCCATGTAAAGTGTTTTCAAGCCCCTGTGACAAAGTAAGAGGAAAATAAGTTATATTTTAAGTGCAAACAATCCTGCTTAACTCCCATAGCATGTAAATTAACTAGTATTTTTTCTTACCTAAGAGTGTTAGTTGTTTGGAGAGTTTTGGCATGATATCAATACCATTCTTTAGCCAGGTGATTTTGGGATTAGGAATCCCTTCAGCATGACATTTGAGGCTTGCAGATACACCAGGTTCCTGCGCCTGAGTTTCAGGATATACACGAATCACTGGTGGCACTATAAAAAAAAAGGGAATTGGCGACTTTAAACCAACCTGTCAGTTGTCATCTTTCTTTGTCCTATGTAATCCACTAATTTTGACTGTGCTATACAAATGATTCAAGGAAGGATGAAATACCATTCTACTTTACAACGTAAGCTAGAATAATGGCAGGCATACAGCTCCTCTGCTTGATTGGCTCTGAAGTAGAGCTTGGCCCCTCCCCCACCCCACCCAACCACAAATGTTTGTTGGGTCAGGGGTGGGTTTGCTCTAACTCATGGCACTTTCTGTGAAGCACCATGAGTTACAGCGGGGAGCTGTATGTCTGTCAGTGCCCTAAGTGTTCAATGCAGGTCCAACTGATGACAATACCCATACAATTCAATGGCAACCGAATTGGGAGCTAAGGAGATAACTTGCTCGAAGTTAAACATTCTTTAATGCTTTGCAATGTAATGTAAGCGGTAATCTCACTGAAACTGATAGGAACCGAATGGGATTTTCCACCTGCATGCCTTAAACAAATGGCATCAAAATATTTAACAATTAACTGTGTGTAATAGAATACCTGAAGTCTTTGCTATATACCATATTAAAAACTGAGGTATGTATAAATTATTACTTTTATTTGAAGGCATTTAATATTGACTTAATTCCTTGTACGAAGTTCTTTATGAGGCACTTAATGTACTGATTGGCAGAACTACTCATTATATTGCAATTTCAGACATGTTTATTGATTTTCAATCATGTTGCTTTCATGGCTCAGTTGAATAAACCATAATAATACCAATTAACTATTTTTTAAACTATCTGGCCTGGCATTTTACAACACTTTAAGGTACTTGATTCAAAAATATATTTTCAATAGTTTGTCTTTCTTTCTGTGGTTTTTATTACCTTTATTATTTACATACATTTTAATTTATTCATTGAGCAAGTTGTTGGGTTGACAAATTACAGAGCTGAAGATTTAATTCCTTTACCTATGAAGAATAAACTTACATAACATTTTTTATTTCTTCACCATTACTACACAATTACTAGAGATTTCTCTTAATCTCTTACTAAGGAAATACTTTGGTGTTCCATACACTCCACTACATAGTAACTGATACCAAATACTTTTCACTAGATATGATAAGTGAATCATGGACAAGATTCATCTAGATAATTCAATCAGTATACCTCATGCCTAATGCAAAGAGGCGAGATGGTTATTCAATCTCCATGTTGTACTAATAGTTATTATTATTAGCTCTGTTAAGTCCCTAGACTTTTAACTGAAATTCCTTGTAAGCTGAATCACAATAGGCCAGATTTTCAAGAATATTTAGGGGCTCCTCTAATGTGCAGGGAGCCTGCTCCGACATGCTGTAATCCCAGTGCTTTGGAGCACACTTGATTCATCGAGTCTGCCACAGCATGGAAATTAACATGCTCCAGCAGCCTCCAGCATCACGTGCATCAGTGATCCACACTGAAAAATGGAAGTGGGGTGTTTTAAATTAAAGCTCATTGACGAACTTTAGTTCAAAGCACCCTGTTGCCATTTTTCAGTATGTGGATACTGATACACATGATGCTCTGGGTGCTTTTAATTAGTGTGGCTTTTGGAGCTGTGCTAATTAAAGTACCACCCCCCCATGCCTCCTGGAGCACGTGTATAAATGTCCTAGATGTGTACACAGGTTCTCAGTGGATTAACAAAAGCGCCCAAGCAGGTGATTTTAATGGAAAATAGGTGCCTATGTATGTGTATGTGCAGGTACCTGTTTATTAGGACCTGGACCAAAACCACTAAGGTTATGTAGCCAGTAGGGCTGTGCAAAATTCCTGTGGCTGTTTCATTTAGTTTCGGATTCGGACATTTTGGCAGCTGAAACACCGCATCTGAAACAAAAAGCACGGCTCCAAAACAGCTCTGAAACTAAACAGATCCATTCAAAATGTTTTGGATGTTTTGGACTGTTTTGGAGGCAGGCTTTCAGGGGAAAAGGAAAT